GCAATTTTCTCACATGTGGATGTATGTGACTACCACTAATCAAGACACAGAACAGTGCCATCCCAAGGATTCCTCTTACAGCCACAGACATTTCCTTTGCCTTTGTGATTTTGCCCAACTTTTTAGTTCCAACTTTTTTCGAGTCACTGTTTCAGTTGTATCTCCTGTAAGAAACATACAAAGTAGTTGGGGTTGCTTTCTAAGCCAATCCGAGGGTCCTTTCCTTGTAAGACACTATTTTTATCCTATTTATAATTATGAAAAATGCAGAAACTAGTTGCTCCTGAACATTTATTGAGCTAGGCATTTTACTAGCTATTTTACTTATCTATAAGTTATATCTTATTATCTCAAACTATTTCTCTTTTCTGAGAAGGGAAACGTACAGTGGTATCTTGAATGTCTTGAAACCCCAGAACAGGTAAGTGGTAGAAAGGGGCTTTGGATCCATACTAATGAGAAGGCCTTCTTTCTCCTCTAGAAAGGTAGTGCAGCGTCTCTTCTCAGCCAGAACACCTGTCATTCTGAATATGAGGAGGATTAGAAACACGCTATCTCCAGCCGGCCAAGGTATGTTTTCTTCCATTCCAGCTATTGTCACTGGCAGGTAAAGCAGAAGCTTCGTAAGATAAAGATGGAAAGCAAGATTCAGAATGTTGAAAAATACAGGGAGACACAAAGGCTGTCAATCATATTCAAATGTTTCACCCTGGATTCCAAAATGCCGTTCTCTGTGAGTTCTCTGTGTGCTTCACTAGCTGCTCCTGTGTTCCATCTCTTGTTCTTCCTCCTCTCTTTCCTCAGGTCCCACTGTTGGAGTGCTCAGGACCCAGTTCTTTGACTGCACTTTGTCTCTACTGTTACTCTTATCCTGGGGTTCTCACCCAAGTCATGATTTCAACTACTTTCTGCACTGATGGCTCCCAAATTTGATCTCCAGCCAGAAACAGACTCAACATCACTTGGCTGTCTAACAGGTTTCTCAAACTTAACCCATCCCACACTGAACTCTGTCACACCCCACGACAAACACATATCCTACCAAAAAAACCTTCACCCCTTCCCATCTCAGTAAATGGGATCTTCATTGTAACAGTTGTTCAAGGCCCAAAAATATGATGTTATCCTTGACTCTACTCTCTCACCTCCCACATGCGCTGGTGAAACCTGTGGATTTCTGCAAATCTAACTGCTGCCATCACCCCTACCAACGTAGAGCTCCTAAAACCCTTGTAGATAGAAGGACTGGGGGACTCTTTTATTCTGTCTTAGTCTGTTTCGTGCTGCTATAACAGAATACCACAAACTGGGGAATTTATGAAGAAAAGAAATTTATTTCTCACAGTTCTGGAGGCTGGGAAGTTCAATATCAGGGTGCTAGCATCTGGCAAGGACCTTCTTGCTGTGTTATCCCATGGCAGAAGGCAGAAGGCAGAAGGGCAAGAGGGTGTGTGTGAGAGAGGCGAAGGAAGGAGGCTGAACTCTACTACTACCCTCAATACTCACACCAATTTACTTCTTCTGGTCACCAAAATGTGTGAGTTTTTCCCCCTACACCAAGCAATTCTCCACTTCTTGATGAGAACAAACTTGGCATCCTACAGTTTAACTCAATTCAGACACTATCTCCTTGGAGATACCATTAGATCCCACAGGTTAAGGGCTCAGTCCCATAAGACTGCCCCTACTTCAGACACCAGTTGTAAGTGGTGGGTCCCCAGGTTACCCACAACTTTTGTCCAATGTGGTGACACATGGAAGATTTCCACACCCCCTTCCTCAGTTTCAATAATTTGCTAGAACAGCTTGCAAAACTCAGGGAAACATTTATTTACAATGACCAGTTTTTTATAAAGGATCCAACTCAAGAATGGCCAGATGGAATTGATGCACAGGGCAAGATATGGGGGAAGAGACATGGAGTTCCCATGCCCTCTCTGGGCACACCACTCTCCAGGTATCTCCATGTGTTCACCAACCCAGAAGCTCTTTGAACCCTGTCCTTTTGGGCTTTTATGGAGGCTTCCTTACACAGGCATGATTGATTAAAGAAACTATGGGCCATTGGTGGTTAACTCAATCTCCAGTCTCTCTCCTCTCCTGGAACTCAAGGGCTGAATATTCCAACCCTCAAATCACATGGTTGTTTCCCCAGATGACCAGCGCCCCCATCCTTGGAGGCTTTCTAAAGTCACCTCATTAACATCAACTCAGGTGTGGCTAAAAGGGCCCGGTTATGGTTAAGAAAAGATGCTCTTTTCACCTTTATTGTTTTCATCACCAGGAAATTTCAAGGGTTTTAGGAGCCCTGTGCCAGAAATGGCGATGAGAACCATACACACACACACACACACACACACACACATATACACACGTATATGTAATTATATATCTATATATAATTATACTTATAAATCACAATATCACAACATATTATGTTTTTGGGAATACAATTTGTACAAAGGGGCCTTGTAAATTACTGCTTTGTTCGGTGAAAATGATCCTTTAATCATTACTGTCCATGTGGTCATAATATTTGTGAGAGAACAGAATACGCTACTCCGAGATACGCCCCTTTGGCATAGGGATTCTTGAGGTGAAGGCAATTAAGAAGAAGCAGATGCAGGAAGGCTCTCTGTCCTCTCTCTATTTGCCTAAAAGCAAGACCTAAATTTACAAAGGTCTTTCTATCAAGGATAATAAAGGTTAACCACTGAGAACTTTAGACCTTTATGGGCCTGGAGATGGTACCAGAGGAAGCTGCGTAACAAACTTTATTGACTAGTCTCTTTCTATTCTTCATTTCGTTTTTATTTGTCTACCCACAGTTTGGTGGCCCTCAAGATGCGAAGTCTTTTTCTTCATCTTGTCACTTCTCTAAAATTGTATAATTCTTTGTTGAGGGTGGTTATATAAGCAGGGAGTTCTAAGCCACTCCTTTGAGAATTGTTTATTCCCTGGTGTCTCCTACATACACTTAAGAGTATATTTCTGTTTGTTTTTCTCTTATTAATCTGTCTTGGGTTACGAGGGTCCTAGCTGAGAACTTAGAAGAGTAGAGGGAAAATTTTTTTTTCCTCTCTTATAATATCCATCTAAGAAATCACTCACCCAGGTCAAGATGGAGAACAGGACATTTCCTTGTACTTCCTCCTCCCAGTCAATAATCGCCCCACCTGAGAGAAAACCATGATTCTGACTTCTACAACCAATTCATTTGCATATTATTGAACTTCATATAAATGGAGTCATTTGTTTGATTTCTTTCACTCAATAATAATGTCTGTGAAGTTATTCCATTGTTGTTTGGGTATCAGTAGTTTTAAAAGTTGTTATTGCTATGTAGTATTTAACTATATAAAAATACTATAATTTGTTTGTTTATTCTTCTATTGATTGATGTATTTGGGTTGTTACCAGCCCTTGGCTATGTATGGGAGGAAAAGTAATTTTTTTCTCAACCCTCATAAGTTCTTAGCTGGAACAGACTCCTGTAACCCAAGACAGATTAACAAGAGAAAACCAAGCAGAAGTGTGTTAACATGTCTATTTCACATGGACATGGGAGAGATCCAGGGATTAAATAATTCTCAAAGAGGTAGCTTTGAATTCCTGTTTCAATACACCTCCAACAATGAACAGTACATTTTTAGAGAAGTAGTAAGACGGTGGAAAAGGGTTTTGAGTCTCCAGGAGGAATATTTTATGGGAAGGCAAGTCAATGTCATCTTTGGTGATCGAACTTTATCCTTTCTGGTAGTGAGGAGATGAGGGACAGCTTTACCTTTGTAAATTTATGTCTTGCTTTTAGGCAAATAGGGGGAGGGTGGAGAACTTTTCTTGTACCCACTTCTTCTCAATTGCTTTTGGCTCAAAATAATCCTTATGCCAAAGTGGCATATTTTGGGGTGGTGTATACTGCTACCCTCCAATAAAGAGGTCACAATGTATTGAACTGACTATTTCACTGCATGCATTTATTGTGTGTAAGCTACACCTCAACATACAATTTTAAAATAATAGTTTGCAAATATTTAGTATGCTATATGGTTGTTATTTTGATACCACAGAATCCAAAATCCCTCCACACCTGAATTTCATAAGGTTTCATCATATGTGCAGTAATGTTGTTTTTCTACATTCCTGACCAGAAAATCATTTGACTCCTGGGGACACAGATTTGGTGCCACAGATGCTGCTGGACAACCAGGCAGAGGAAGAAAGTGAGGCTGGTGTTGGTTTGGAAAGGTAACCCAAAAGGCCTAGTCCCCAGGGAGAGGGCTGGTTCTGTTGAAATGCTGCAGGCATCCTCACGATAAGGAATACATGTGCTCTGATAGGATTAGCTGTGAAGTGGGCCTTATCTTCCCACTGGTCTCTATTACGCATACGAAAATCCCTTCCCCTAGGGAAAAAAATACTTCACAGAGCTAAAGTAAATATTTTGGAGAGCAAGTCAAGATTGAGTCAGTCACGTGGCGTTGGGCAATAAGACTCCAAAGATAGAAGTTGCTCCACTCTGGAGCCTCATCTCTGTAACTCTCTTGAAGACAGGAACTCCATTTCTTCAGCTCATATACCACCAAGGAAGGAAGCCATTTGGTGTTAACAAATTAATGAATTTAAGCCCAGTTACTGGTAAATCAGCCTCCTGCACAATGTGTGCAAGTAACAAATATTTGCTCTGTGAATTAGGTGAATTATGTGTAGTATCTCATGGAACTGAACTGAAATGTTATCCAATGCCAGTAGACATCACCAACTGATACAGGATGTACTGGAGCAGAGATGTTCACGTGTGAGATGCTTGGTTTAATTAAGAAACACATGAAGTCAAGCTTCTGTTAGTTATCAGCCATGCTAAAACCAAAACTCTACAGTTAATATACAGTGGCATTGTTGATCTTTGCAGCTACGTATCTATTTGCTGTTTCTTTTTGTCTAGCATACCTTGAGGAAACACAAAGATCAGGGTGGGCTAAACTGTGGCATCTTTTATGTCTAGGGTTCTTCATCAGGACCACCCCGCTTGCCTTCATCCCACCCCTTCCCCATTGCAAGCCCTGGTGATCTTCTGCTCTGTTAACTGATTTACATCTGTGGATTAATGGATAATTGGGCCTAAATTTATTAATTCATTAATACTTAAAACATATGCTCGATGGTATATTTAGTTTCTAATCTTTCCCACTGAGGAATTCTGTGCATGTGTGTGTGGAAAGAGAGATTTAAAGATAAAAACATTTATGGACATACATATACTTCAATGAGGAGGCCGTGACATCAACTGACAGATGAGAGGAAGGGCAGAAAGCACCAAGTTTAGGACTCAGAGCCCACCCAACGCTCCATCTTTACCTTGCATGTTCCTTTGGGAGTGTCCTCTTTTCTCTCTGGGCTTGAGGCCCCCAGTGAATCATAAAGGAGATGGCCCAGATCCTCTCCAGGGTTCCCTCCAGCTCTGATGTTCTCCTTTGGGCCAGGGCATCTGTTATCACCAGGCCTCCTTGGCTCACCCTGAAAGAAATGCACAAATGGCACCTTACATGAGAAAATGCCCCAAGCAGTAGGCTTTGCTCTCACCCTGATGCAGCTCTCCCTTGAAGGTCAAAGCCAACTGACCTGGCAAAGATCCCTTCGTACTTCGTCCTGTGAAATGTTGGAGGAAGAGAGGTCTGGGTCTCTTTGTCTCAAACTTCTTCCATAAAGGACCAATCCCATCTGCTTGAAGGGTCAAGTAAAGCTGACCAAGAGCAAGGAGAGCATTCAGGACATGAATAATAATTGATCTCAACTCTCAATGTGTAACTCCTGATAGAAGCAGAGGCACACCCCACGTAGCCAGATTCAGGGTCATCAGAGTGGAGGATGTATGACTCAATATGGCCCCCTCCACCCTCCTACTCACTTCTACACATCTGGGACTCTCATCCCCTGCCCACCACCTTGTCTTCTCTTTCTCCTACTTTTCCCAGATCTCTCCCGCCGTTGTTCCCAAGTTCCTCATCTTGAGTGGGGTTTTAACATTTCCCCACTGCCCCTCCTCTGCAGCAGTGCTGTGCTTTCTCTGAACAAGGCTGAAAACATACCTCAGGACTTAATCTTCCTTCCCCATTCCTTGGTCAAGGCTGGGGTGACTCACATTTGTCCTTCCACATGCCCCTCTTACGTGTTTCTTTTCTCCACGGAACCAGTAGTTTTCAGCGAAAGTTGAACTACTCTACAATGCTCTGGGACTTTTCAGGGGATTTTGTAGGGAGGTACAGGGAGGATTCGAAGTTGAGAGTGGCAAGAATATCCAAGAGCCACAAGCAGTTTCCCATCTGGGAAGCTGAAGCAAAATCTTTATTTCATTTCTCCTCAGGGATGAGGAAGATGTTCCTCTGTGTGAAGACGTGGAGCTACAAGACAGAGATCTGTCCCCCAAAGAAAAAAGATTTTTGAGAGAATTTCCCAGATTGAAAGAAGATCTAAAAGGGAACATTGACAAGCTCCGTGCCCTTGCAGAGGATATTGACAACACTCACAAGAAATTCACCAAGGCTAACATAGTGATCAACTCTACTGCTGTCATCTCTGACGCGATGAGCCTCCTGGGTTTAGCCTGTGCCCCAGTAACAGGAGGAGCGAGCCTACTGCTCTCCGGCGCTGGTCAAGTTTTGGCAGCAGCAGCTGGGGTCACCAGCATTGTGAGTGGTATGTTGGAAAAATCCGAAAATAAAAAAGCCCAAGCACAGGCTGAAGACATACTGCCCACCCATGACCAAGAGGACAGAGAGGAGGAGGTAAACAGGGCAGACTATGCCACAGCTGCTGTAAAGATTGCCTATAATGGTGTAAACGTCTTGAAGGATGCCAAGAAAAACATCCGTGCATTTCAGAAATTCAGAGCTGACCCACACTTGGCCAGTGCTAGCAAGCGTCTTCTGACCACTGGCCAAGTCTCCTCCCGGAGCAGCAGGCAGATACAAAAGGCCTTTGGGGGAACAACACTGGCGATGACCAAGAATGCTCGCCTGCGGGGAGGTGTGATGTCCGTCATCTCCCTTGGCCTTGACTGCCACGCTCTCTCAAAGGGATGGAAGCACCTGAAGGAAGGAGCAAGGACAACGTTTGCGGAAGAGTTGAGAGACAAGGCCTCGGAGCTGGAGAGGAAACTCTCAGAACTCACCCAGTACTACGAGAGCTTGCAACAGAAAGTAAGGTCAAGGGCCAGAGGGGTAGGGAAGGATTTAACTGGGACCTGTGAAACCAAGTCTTACTGGAAGGGGTTAAGGGAGCATGTGTGGGTGTGGGTGTGGGTGTGGGTGTGTGTGTGTCTGTGTGTATGTAAAGTTTACATGAATGTTTCTTAGGACATGGCATACAATGGCCTTGGAGGTCCAAATAATATCGAGTACATCTTGGAGATGAGGGTGCCTGTCCTGGACAGACCTAGGCATGCCTTCTGTTTATCCCTCAATGCTCCTTAAGGCCTATTGCTGGGAAAAGGGTCTCCCCTGTTTGTTTGTTTGTTTTGAGACAGGGTCTCTGTTGCCCAGGCTGGAGTGCAGTGGCATGATCTCGGCTCACTGCAACCTCTGCCTCCTGAGTGCAAGCAATTCTCCTGCCTCAGCCTCCCAAGTAGCTGGGATTCCAGGCATACACCATCACGCTCAGCTGATTTGGGTATTTTTAGTAGAGACAGGGTTTCACCATTTTGGCCAGGCTGGTCTCGAATTCCTGACCTCAAGTGATCCAGGCACCTTGGCCTCCCAAAGTGCTGGGGTTATAGGTTTGAGCCACCATGCCCAGCCGGGTCTTCCCAGTTTTAACAAAGAGGTCACTGAGCCACAGGGAGAGTTAGGAACTAAATTGTCTCCTCCTCCAAATTCATATGTTGAAGTCCTAAACCAAAATGTGGCTGTATTTAGAGATGGACCCTTTGGGAGGTAATTAGGGTTGAATGAGGCCATAGGGTGAGGTTCTTGCCCAATGGAATTGACCTCCTTATAAGAGGAGGAGGAAATACAAGAGGACCTCCCCACCCCTGCTGCACACCTGCACTGAAGGAAGGCTATTTGTAGACACAGCAAGAAGGCAGCCACCTGCAAGGCAGAAGAAGAGAGCCCTCACCAGGAACTGAATGAATCAGCAGCTCAGTCTGGGACTTTAGCCTCTGGAACTGTGAAACAATACATTTCTGTGGTGTAAGCAACTCAATCTATAGTAGTTTGTTACTATTTTGTTATAGTAACTGAAGATGACTAAGCCAAGGAGGTTATGTCACTCACCAAGTGTCTTAGTCTGTTTGTGCTGCTTTAACAAAATACCTTAGACGGGGTAATTTACAAACAACAGAGATATATCCAGAAATCCACAGTTCTGGAGGCTAGGAAGTCCAAAATCAAGGCACCAGCAGATTCCATATCTGGTGAAGGTTCACTCTGCTTCACAGATGGCACCGTCTTGCTGTGTCCTCATATGGCAGAAGGGGCAAACAAGCCCCCCTGGGTCTCTTTTATAAAGGCACTAATTCCATGCCTAAAGGCAGGGCCCTCATGACTCTATCACCTACCAAAAGGCTCCACTTCTTTATACTATTGGAGGGGCAGAAGGAACTTCCTTTCTAGACCTTGAAGGTTTAAGAATTTGAATCTATAAAACAAGCTGACAATAGACAGGTTAACAGGAGAAAAGGCATATACATTTTTTAATGTGGGCCAGATGGCGGAAGCTTAAATAGCACCCCAAGCTACAGGAAGTGGGGCCTCTGATGGGGAGGTAGAGACACAGGCCATGGGAGGGGGTAGGGGCAGGAAGTGTATGGTGAGCAAAGTTTGCCTTATTACACTGAGAAAGGTAGATCACCTGAGGTCAGGACTTTGAGACCAGCCTGGCCAACATGGCAATACCTTGTCTCTACTATAAATACAAAAATTAGCCAGATGTAGTGGCAGGGTACTTGTAATCCCATCTACTCGGGAGGCTGAGGCAGGAAAATTGCTTGAACGCAGGCTGTAGGTGACAGAATGAAACTCCATCTCAAAAAAAAAAAGAAAAAAGAAGAAGAATACAGTCATGTATCTCTTGGTGACAAGGATACTGTCAGGCCTCTGAGCCCAAACCAAGCCATTGCATCCCCTTTGACTTGCAGGTATATGCCCAGATGGCCTGAAGTAACTGAAGAATCACAAAAGAAGTGCAAATGCCCGCCCTTCCTTGACTGATGACATTCCACCACAAAAGAAGTGAAAATGACCGGTCCTTGCCTAAAGCGATGACATTATCTTGTGAAATTCCTTTTCCTGGCTCATCCTGGCTCAAAAAGCTCCCCCACTGAGCACCTTGTGACCCCCACTCCTGCCTGCTAGAGAACAACCCCCCTTTGACTGTAATTTTCCTTTACCTACCCAAATCCTATAAAACGGCCCCACCCTTAACTCCCTTCGCTGACTCTCTTTTTGGACTCAGCCCGCCTGCACCCAAGTGATTAAAAAGTTTTATTGCTCACACAAAGTCTGTTTGGTGGTCTCTGCACATGGACGCCCATGACAGATACATTCTGAGAAATGTGTCGTTAGGCAACTGCATTGTCGTGTGATTATCACAGAGTGTACTTATCCAAACTTAGATGGCATAGCCTACTACACACCTAGGCTATATGGGAGAGCCTATTGCTCGCAGGCTACACACCTGTACAACATGTGACTACTGAATACTATAGGGAATTGCAGCACAATGGGAAATATTTGTGCATCTAAACATATGTAAACAGAGAAAAAGAAAAGTAAAAATATGGCATAAAAGATAAGAATTGGCTCTCCTGTATAGGGCACTTACCACAAATGGAGCTTGCGGGGCTGAGAGTTGCTCCAGATGAGTCAGCGAGTGGTGAGTGAATGTGAAGGCCTAGGACATTACTGTATACTACTGTAGGCTTTATAAACACAGCACACTTAGGGTACACAAAATACATTTTAAAACGTTTTCTTCCTTCGGCATATTAGGCAATAGGAATTTCTCAAGTCCACTATAATCTTATCAAACCATGGTTGTATATGCAGTTGACTGAAACATTGTTATTGAACACATAACTATAGTTGAAAGAATAAGCAAAAAGTCTATCTCAGTGTGGTGTCTTGAGCAACTTTTAATTATTCTCCTGTCCTGCATTACGAGTTAATCTTCTCTGATTGATGTAGATTCCAGGAAGGGGTGTCCAGGACAATTGTCTTCCTTCTGGAGAAACTTCCCTTAATCAAATAAGAGAACTTCAAAGAAAGCTCCTCCCTGTGCTTTGGAAAGGAAGGGAAGTGGGCAGGAGTGGGTCAAAGACAGACCTTCGTTCTCTTATTTCTGAGGCCCTTCAGTCTCCTTTATACAAAGAACTCAGCATGCCAAAGCACCCTATTTTAGGGTATCTTTTTCTGAGCCCTAAACACTATCACATTGGGGATGTCAACTATGAAAGGAAAATATCTTGGGACCCCAGAATCACCAAGGAAAACCCAAGCTTAGCGAAACTGCTTAGGGCAAACCCACCTCCCACTCTGTTCAAAGCTATCCCTCTGCTCACTGAGATAGATACGTATCTGATTGCCTCCTTTGGAAAGGCTAATCAGAAACTCAAAAGAAAGCAACCATTTGTGTCTCACTTATCTGTGACCTGGAAGCTCCCTCCCCACTGAACCAATGCTCTTCTTACATATATTGATTCATGTCTTATGTCTCCCTAAAATGTATAAAACCAAGCTATGCCCCGACCGTCTTGGTCCCATGTCTTCAGGACTTCCTGAGGCTGTGTCACAGGTGTGTCCTCAACCTTGGCAAAATCAACTTTCTAAATTTACTGAGACCTGTCTCAGATTTTCTGGGTTCACATTTTGGAAACCATGAATGGATTCTGAGTGGAGATGCTCCCGACCGTTGACTAATCTGTCAGTGCTTGGTACCAGCATGAGCTAACTTTATGGCTCAAACCAATAGGACAATTTGCTGAGGTCTGAGAGGACTCCCTCCAGAAAATCCCTGATCTCTTAAAATTTGGTAGAGATCTGAAGTTTATTTTGCTGTACAACACCTCTTTTGTTGGAGTTTTACTTGCTCCCAACAAGGAAAGCAAGTTTTCCTGCTTTCATGATGATGGAAGGCAGGTGATGTTTTAATGGAGTTTGAGCTCTCTTGCAATGGGGAGAATTGTTTGTTTTGTTTTTCCTGCTTCTAGGTTGGTACAGGGCAGTCTACAGCCTGAGACCCATCACTAGGTAAGAAACTGTTTTGGGATTCTGTCTTGCAAATTCTTTTTAAACGACTAAAGTTGGTATTTAACAACCAGCTGGTGTTAATTTCTGCTTACACTTAGAGCACTCAGAAATTGTATAATCTGTGTGACCATTGTTAGTTTTGCTTAACTGTTTTGTTGTTTGTTTCTGTCTTAGTCAAATCCGAAGGGGAACCCTAAATTATGGGGTCAAGGACTCTGACGTAGTAGGAAAACAGCCAGCTTAAAAAATTTTTTTTTTTAATTTTAATGACTATAGGGGCTTTATTTACATAACAAGGCCACCTTTTTGCTAGCCAGACCAAACTGAAAGAGCAATGGCTGTACCTCTGAAATAGCAACCTTTTGTCCTAGCTGAGATTTGCTAATAAGATTTTTTTTTAAGTTTTTCAAGGAGCTCAATGGTTGAAAGTCTGCTTATTTAAAACACTCACATCCAAGATGTGTGTGTTTGTGCATGTTTGTATTTGAAAGGCCTTCATTTTTTGTTTCTTGTTTGTTTTTCTCTCCTAAGACCTTATCTTTTTTTTGTAGCAAAAAAGAAGTTTTTTTTCCTTTTACTACTCAGTTGACTGAATTCTGTTTTCACCGGATTTCTTGACTAAAATAGTTATTGCAACAGAGGCTCCTCTTGTGTTAAGGAAGAATGTAGTTTAATGTTATGTTTAATTTGGCTCAAAGAAAAATAAAAACATCTTCTTCTAACATCACCAGGCTTTTTTCTCTCTGTAGCTTATGATGTAAATTTTGCTATTTGCTTTTCACCTGGGTTGTTTTCTTTAATGTGCAAATTTAAGGCTATTTAGCTGACAATTGCCTAGGGTTGTAAAACAGGTTATCAAGAATCTGAAAGTCTAAGATAGGAAAAAAAGGTGGGGGGGTGGGGGTGGGCATTATAAATCTGTAAAATGTACTTCTATTGGCATGCCTAATACGTCCTTATATGTATGTATGTGTTGTGTACACAATGTTTCAGTACTAAAAATATATAAAACAGCTCCAATTGGCTTAAAGAAAAATAAAAGTGCTTAAATCAGATACCAAAAAAGAAGAGTAGTCAAATGCTTTTTCACGTTTATGTAACTTAAGTAAAATCTTTAATAAAGAAGCTAGCTTTAAAATTATTGGTAAAGTGATGTTAGAAATGTCTTAAGAATTGCCAGCATACATTTTTGTTTGCATTCTATCAATCAAGTGATTTTATACTTATCCCTGCAAAATACCATAAGGTGTCAAAATTTGGCGTAGGGGTTACAAAACTGTAATGATCTTTGCTTGTGTAATTTTTAAGAAATATGACATTGATATGGTTTAATGAAAACAGCTGCATCTTGAATTTAGTAAGATTACCGTAACTTCTAATCCTGTGGCTTGAGCCAGTTTAGTCCACAGACAAGACGGAGGTTTGTTTTGGGAAAGGACTGTTATTGTCTTTGTTTCAAAGCTAATCTTAGACTAGATTTCTTCAAAAGTTCATTCGGCCTATGCCCAGGAATGAACAAGGGAGAGCTTGGAGGTTAAGAGCAAGGTGGAGTCAGTTAGGTCAAATTGTTTTTCACTGTCTCAGCTGTAATTTTGCAATGGAAGTTTCATAACTTTAAATCATGACTATCATAATTTTTATAAATAATCTAGGTAAACAATTAAAATGAAATAGGTAAATGTAATGGGATAAACACAAACTGGATGCAATTTAGAATATAAAGTCATATTAAATTAAATAACAGATAATTTATTATTTGTGTATTTTCCAACAAATATATCTTGTAGGAAAACACTCTTGCTTAAAAAAATAGTGTGTCTTTTTTTTTAAAACAAAGAAGGTGAACAAGTTTTGTCTAATTCAGAACTTATTAAAAGGTTATGTATAAAACCAGGTAAAAGGAACCAGAAAATAAAAAATGATGTAAATAAAGTTATAAAGAATTCTTTCAAGGTTAAAAAGCTTAAAGAGAAGTAATTTTATATAAGAAAGAATCTTATATGATAAATTTGATTCAGTGTCTGCTGCAGTGGGCAGGTCTTTCTCTGGCCTCCCCGAGCACCTTGCCTTCCCCACCCTGCCATAAGCAATACTTTTCTCCCTTCCCTTTCCTCTCTCTCTCTGTGCAAACTGCAAAGGAATGGTAAAAATCACTGTTTAGCCGGGCACGGTGGTTCAAGCCTATAATCCCAGCACTTTGGGAGGCCGAGACGGGCGGATCACGAGGTCAGGAGATCGAGACCATCCCAACATGGGCTAACATGGTGAAACCCCGTCTCCACTAAAAAATACAAAAAACTAGCCGGGCGAGGTGGCGGGCGCCTGTAGTCCCAGCTACTCGGGAGGCTGAGGCAGGAGAATGGCGTGAACCCGGGAGGCGGAGCTTGCAGTGAGCTGAGATCCGGCCACTGCACTCCAGCCTGGGCGACAGGGCGAGACTCCGTCTCAAAAAAAAAAAAAAAAAAAAATCACTGTTTATCTCCTATAAAGTTTTGATTAATGGAAAAAAGGATTCACGAGGCTAATCTTAAGCTGTAGTGAATCTGGTGTGTTTTGTGGGTCTTTCTGTATTGTTCTGTCACCAAGAGGGGTACCTTAGGATAAAACGTGGGCTTAGGACACCTGTAAGCCTGTTTTCAGATGGCCCAGCAAACTGGAAAATTACGAACTTTTCTGCGGGTCCCTGAAAAAAATTGAATGAGGTTTTTTCCTTGTCCTGTACGTCCTTGGGAACTTGACCTTATAACCATGTGGCTG